AGACAGCTTACAACATCATTATTAAAACAATGAAACACTAAACAAACATTACAAAACTTAAGGGGCATAAAACAGTGAGCTAAAGCATAATCTATAAAAACGTCCTTGTAAAAGCAGCAGAAGATGATGATTATAACCGACACTACATCTTTGTAGCAGAAAAAGCATCTTAGCCAGAGGCTTTTCTAAGAAGGATGATCTTTGCCAGCCACCAAAATACCAAGACAAGGTTTCCTAGGAAGGGAATTCTGGAACCTTGGCATGACTACAATGAGGTCTCCCTGGTCACAGTCAGAAGGATATTATGTATAGGATATGAGAACCTATGATGATGATCTTAATAAAGCAAGTAGGTTCATACAAGAAAAAGTAGTTCTTTGGATATACTGGCCCAAATCATGCATGGCTTTACAGGTCATTAATAGAATTTTGAATTGGGGACCGAAACAAACTAGAAGCCAGTGCTGATGCTTGTGATAGGTAGCTCCCATTAACAAATGCGGCTGTCATATTCTGGATCAGTTGTAAGTTTATGGATATTTTTTCAAAGGCAACCTAGTAGGCTGCATTCCAGTAGTCTAGATATGATGTAACTAAGAAAGATATTCCCATAGCCAGTCAACAATCTCCAGGAATGGGAATATTTGGTGCAGCAACCTAAGGTGAGCAAAAGCATTCCATTGAGAACATTTTGTGTTCTTAAGGGAAGTAAAATCCCAACGAACACTAATTAAATCATGGATCAACAGTCTTATGGACCCATGAGACCTGTCTTGTCTAGACTAGGCTTCAGTTTGGTAGCCCACATCCAGTCCATTACTGTCCCGGGCACTTATTTACAATGGCAATAGTATCTATAGATGGAAAGTTCTAAATCTCTGAATGGTTTCATGTAAGATGGAACCCTGAGGGGAAGCCAGAGGCCAATGGGTAATGTGTTGAGAAGAGTTCTCCCACCACCACCTTTTGCAGTCAACTGTCCCGGACCTGAATAACATTTTAAAGCAAAGTCCCACTTTTGCTAAGCGATTCAGATGGATATCATGGTATTTAAAGCTGCTGACAGATCTAGTACAACTGATAGGTATGTACCTCTTGGCAAAGGTCATCAGTCATTGAGACTGGGGCTGTTTCCATTCCAATATTAGGCCTAAATATAGAAAATCCACATCTAGAACTGAAAGGCCTAAATATAGAAAATATAGAAAGGCCTCCTAAAGGAGCACCTTTCTCAGGGATGGAATGTTTGAGTCCAGCTGGAATTTATCCTACATGGTAGAACCAAGACGGAGCTGCTTCAGAAGTGTTTGAAGAAGCCTGTTTTAAGTTTACAGGAACCACATCATTAACCACCCTTCCACTCAGCTACTCTGCCTCTAGCTGTTCATGAAAACTTGGAAGGACAAGGGTTGAGTGTGCACATGATCAGCTTCTTTTGTATACCTCCCCAGGCTACATAAATATTGAGAAATATCCAACAAAACTAAACAAGAAAATGTGAAAGGTACATCTATGGACTCTTCCCAAGCTCTGGTGTTTAAGTTGAAACAAGCATGAGCAGTTCAATCCACTAAGCGCCTGGTAGATTGGTAACAGCAACACCAAGCGGTCATCATTTCATTCTTGATGGTCCAGATGACTACCTGAGAAAGATCTAATCTATCATGAGCTTTCTGCCACAGTCACTCTGTTCATTCCTAAGAATAAATTGTACCTTGATTTTTCATTTGCTTGCTCAGGGTGGCTAATCTAGATGTCATCCCCATCAGCTCTGCAGACCACCATGGGGCATGCATTGCTCGATTAGCTGCAAGAAAGCTTCAGTGACAACCATTTGTAGAAGAGCTATTCTGGATCCAAGATATAGAGCATGTTCTTTCCTTGTAGATGTTTTATCTGTTGTTGGACCTGCCAGTTCAGTAATTCAAATTTAAAGTTGTGACAGGCAGATGAAATCCAATACTGATTATGTTCTTGATGAGAGGTGATGTTACCTTTGTTGTTATTGTTTAGTCGTTTAGTCATGTCCAACTCTTTGTGACCCCATGGACCAGAGCACGCCAGGCACTCCTGTCTTCCACGGCCTCCCGCAGCTTGGTCAAACTCATGTTGGTAGCTTCAAGAACACCGTCCAACCACCTCGTTCTCTGTCGTCCCCTTCTCCTTGTGCCCTCAATCTTTCCCAACATCAGGGTCTTTTCCAGGGAGTCTTCTCTTCTCATGAGGTGGCCAAAGCATTGGAGCCTCAGCTTCAGGATCTGTCCTTTCAGTGAGCACTCAGGGCTGATTTCCTTCAGAATGGATAGGTTTGATGTTAACTAGGCTGCCCCAAAGGAGGTGAGAGGAAGCAATTCCTTCCCTATGGGAATTGCCAAGCCAGGCAAAATGCATAAGAACCCTGGTGGATCAAACCAAGGATCCATCTAGTTTAGTATTCTGTTTACATGAGTAGTTTACATGAGTAGTCAGCTGGAGGTTTCTAGGAAGGCCACAAGTAGAGAGAGACCCAGGAGTGGTTCCTTGCTTGTGAGGGCATGACTTCACATTTTTTTTTCTTAAGGAACAAGGGATGTGCACAAAGGAGAGATTTCCCTTCGTATTCAGGTTTTAAGCACATTGTTTCATCTTTATCAAAGAATACCGTAAGAGCATTGACCACACTGATACTGTTTATAGTTACTCATTTAAGTGCTTACCACAGTGAGCTTTACAGTATATGGAAGAATTGCTTTTTTCTAGGTGCAGTCCTCATTAAGATGAAGGATTTAACCTATAAATGAAGGTATATTTTTAGATTTATTCGACATAAGGAGACATATGTCTTGCCATATATCTTTTTCCCCAGATCTCTTTACTTGGCTCAGGTGTCGGCCTTCTATACACAGTGTGCTGAATTTTCCTTTTGTCTGTTTCTTTATTCTATCCAAGTACATAAAACAAGAGACTGGATGCCATAAATACATCCAAGATCATAAATAACGTGTGTTAACCCAAAAAAAAGTTCCTAGCTGATTCTTCCATTTGCTTTTAACTTGGAGGCAAGTGGAAGATGACAATACATGCTTTCATGTAAATGCCTAGGATCCGTTTTGTGGAGCCAAAGGGGCAGAGAGGATAGTCTGGAAGGCAGAGTGACTGAAGATCCATCATTCCCTTGATTTCAAAGTGGTGTGTGATGTGGTGGGTGGGATGGGCTGCTTTGCCAAAAAAATTAGAAGAAAGCAATCCCTCTGTTTGTGCAGATGTGGTTCATTTGCTCTGCTGGATTACAGCCACCACCTTTGGTGAATACGTAACCCGTGGATCAGGGGACATCATTTTATAGCTCCTTTAACCAATTTAAACATTATTTCAGATTCATGGCTGCCATTGGAAATGGTTTTTGCGGGATTGTGGCTTTACAGCTGCAGTGATGTTCAAGTCTGCTTCCATTATGGGTTGGTTAGACTGTATTTCAAGCAGCCATGCTGCAGCCCTGCTGGTTCCAAAGATGTGAGGCGCCAGTGTGGATGCTTAACAGGCAATGTGGCAGAACAATGTAGGAAGCAGATTCAAATGTTGCAGCAACTGGAATTAGATGAGTAGAAGTGAAAAGAGCAGGGAGTGCTAGCAGGGAGTGCTTGCTATGTTTTCTCTTACATACAAACATGGCATTATTATATAAATTAATACACTATTGCAGTGCAAAAACTTGGATTGCCACAGCCTGAAACAATATGGGTCTTAAATATTTTGCCTCACAGATATTGAAAATTAAAAAATTGTCCAGTAGCACCTTAGATACCAACTTAAGTTTGTTCTGGGTATAAGCTTTTGTGTGCATGCACACCTGTTGACGAATGACCTGGTCTGAATAGAGATATTGGATTCTTGTCTCACTACACATGCTAAAGCAGTGTTTGGTCATCTGCATACTATCCCTTGTTTTTTCCTGTAGGACTAATTGCAGTCGTTAACAGTTGTCCACAGGTTTACCATACCCATTGAGTCAATCACCCATCTCCTACTACCCTTCTGAGAAAAACCCCACCCCACCATCCCACTATATATAAGGGTCTGGTTACTTCTGTTTCAGTGTATCTGAAGAAGTGTGCATGCACACGAAAGCTTATACCCAGAACAAACTTAGTTGGTCTCCAAGGTGCTACTGGACAATTTTTTTATTATTATTATTTATTTCGACTGTGCCAGACCAACCTTCTGACTACCTGAATCTAGATTTTGAAAACGATACCATACTTGTCAGTTTAGACAAATCAAAATACCTGATTTTTTTGTCAATTGAACCATGATGATGGGAAGCAAGTGATAGTTTAAAGATGAACAAAGATAAATGTGGCAGTATTTAGGAGGGAATATTTGTATGCAAACAGAACATCTGTTTATATTTCACTTATGAATAGATTGTGATATCAATTCTCAATATTCGTACATAAGAAAACCTGAACATCAGCTGACACTGAATGGACTCTGTAGGATGCCAGATAGGACAGAGGAGGCTGCCTAACAGCCTGATGAGTTCAGTCTTCCAGTAGGGCAAAAAATATTGAATTAGGTCCTTCTAACTCATGTATGTGTAGAAATATGAGAAAAACATTTTGATGTCAATGATTATTTATTGACAGTGCTATGTGGGAATAAGTAAAGTTATTAGTATATCTCCTAATTCTATATACTAAGACACCCCCCCCCGCAAAAAAACTTCACAGTTCTGACCACTTCTCAGTTTGCCCCAGTAACACTAACATTGATTAGAAATGATGGAAATAAGGATGGCATTTTTATATTGGCCAAAAACATTTGATTAACCTGCGGGATTCAGAGGCCGCTAACTTCTGGCCACGAGACTTCTGAAATGTTGAAAAGTACCATTAAATATCAGCATTTACAAATTCTAGCACTAATATAGTTAAGAGTAAAAATAAAGGGGAGTAGAGAAGGATCATTTGGAGTTCATTGCTACTGAAGAGTAATCATTTAATTCATTCTCTTTTATTCAGGTGCTTTCCCAGACGCAGCTTTGTATGCTCGAAAAGACTTGCTTCACAGACCAACGCATGTTGCTACCAAAACGTTCCAAGCCTTGCGCATATTTGTCAACAATGAGCTGCACGAACTATTTGCGGGGCTAAAGGCAGCCGAGAAGTTTCTAAAACCAGGGGGGCGACTTGTAGCAATTTCTTTCCATTCGTTAGAAGATCGTATCATAAAGCGGTTTCTTCATGGAATAGATATGTCAGAAAAATTCAATCTCAGTGTCAGGCAGAAGATCAGGCAAGTGGAGAAGAATTCTTCAGAGAATGAGGAGGAGGATGAATTGTCCAGTGGAACTTCTAACTCAAGATGGACCTCAGTACAGAAGAAAGTGGTCACTCCCCAAGCTAAGGATATTAAAGAAAATCCAAGAGGACGCTCAGCAAAGCTAAGAGCAGCTATTAAGATGTAAACATTTTTTAAAGCAGCAAATCTGTAGCATTTTTAAAAAGTTAGCCACACATTGTTCCTGCTTCACTAATTAAATCAGAATGCCAAAGAAGGGAACATCACATGACTAAACAACCTTTTTTCTGCATTGCTACAGAAAAATATCTTTCACATATACAGATTAAAGGACAAGAATTATGTTAGTTTCTATATAACTCACCATGATAATATTCATTAATATCTAAAATACAGGTACATATATTTTAAATATGCCTACTTTCCCCTGTAACAGCAAATGCACAGCCATGTGCTATGTAGCTGTATTCGTTTTTATATATGTTTTTATTGTAAATTGCATTTATAATCTATGAGAAGGGGTTAATAAACAAATTGGGGTTAATGAGTCGGCTCAGATTCAGAGTGTTAAACAAGTCAAGCTGTGGTTTTTTGATGCATCCAAATGGACCAATAGGCAATGGTATGGGCTGAACCAGAAACCTAGCAATATGATTCTAAAAGAATCCACTGCAAATCCTAAAATGATGTATTGTGGCTCAGAGCTGCATGTGAATATTGATTCCATACCTAACAAAAGCAAGTCTCATTGTGCAATGAAAATCAGGTCAAATTGCCTTCCTCTTTTACTAGAGTAAAACTTCAGTGGATTGCTGTTGAGCTGCATGCAGTCTCTAGAAGATCTGCCAGTTGGAATTTCTAAGCAACCTCAGGGAACCATATAGTGTATCCCATTACTTTAATTGGCTTACCTTGGTATTCCATGCAATTTGCAGTTATGATCTGTAAGCCTGAATATCACATGCTCTGAAGAATATATGTTTAGCTGTGTTTCCCGTTCTCCATTGTGCTGTTAAAGATCAGTCACAAGCACCTCCTTAATCATGGTACATCAAATGCACGTTGTTGTTTTTTAAAAGCACTCTTAATTGTTACTTCCCCCATCTATGCAACTTCCCTGTAAGTTAGTGAAAATCTCAAATGTACCATCTTCCAGCATCTTGGTACAGTGGTACCTCGGGTTACATACACTTCAGGTTACATACTCTTCAGGTTACAGACTCCGCTAACCCAGAAATAATACCTCTGGTTAAGAACTTTGCTTCAGGATGAGAACAGAAATCGTGCCGCGGCAGCAGCGGGAGGCCCCTTTAGCTAAAGTGGTGCTTCAGGTTAAGAACAGTTTCAGGTTAAGAGCGGGACTCCAGAACGAATTAAATACGTAACCAGAGGTACCACTGTATTAGTATGCAATTCTAAAGGATGACAAGTGTGGTCACTCTTGGCTGGGTTCCAAGTCAGTAGAGAGCTTACTGCCCTAAACAGTGCTTTCGTTTCCACTTTGCATGGAGTATCCAGGAAAATCAGATGCCACCTAAGAGAATTATCAGCTTGCATGTCCTATTTTTTTCCAGGTTAGGGGGCCTACAGGTTAGCAGGTCCATGCCTGAGTCGCTGAAGGCACACACTGCCATACATTTTTCAGGGATGGTTATCCCAAAGTGACATGCTTGTAATAAGCAGCATAGCTTTTCTACCTAAAATGATTAGTGGTGTGGTCCAAAACACAGCAGATATTTCTGATTGATTTTGCCTGATGATCTGATCTCTTCCCTCTGCCCCTGGACAAATACAATAAAAATGAAAAATCATTATTTTTACTTCACCCTTTTGTAATAAAGAGTCAAGTTATTCCCATTTTTCCTAATAAGGAATGTGTAGGATCTGTTGTGAACTTAGTCTAAATTAATAACGTTTTTCACCGAAAATGAATCTGCAGTAGGACTGGTGTTGTTTAACTTATTAATGGTTGAGGAAAGGAGCTCCACTTCTTCCTCGTGTAGCGATAATTTCATCAGAATGACAATACACGTTATGAGAGCTAATTTGAAGAATTGCATTGATCAGTCTTTCTCTGACTGGGAGTGTAAGCATCTTTCATGAAGGAAGGGAACATGGAGTGCACTCGAGAGATTTAAGCAATTTATCATGTTGTGTCTATAAGCAGACAAGATTCATGGTTTTCTAAAGGATGGGTAGTGATCCTATTGCAGCTTCCAAGGGGAAGGAGAGCAAATCCTTGACCATTTGTATAGATAATATGATAGTAGGAATGCAGGTGTGCCAGAACCTCATGGGGGAAAGTAAAAAGCAGACAAGGATTGTAGGAGCTGGGTGAGTAGGAAAGGCTTATGGAACAAAGAATATAGGGAAAGGGGTGATTCAGTGATTGGGAGACAATGGGATATCCTAGATAATTACCTCCCCCCACCCTAGTCAATTTTTTGACGTTTGAGCACAGTATAGCATATCACGTTTACAAGAAGAAAATCAATAAAATACGTCACTATCTAGCACAGTAAGGCTAGTGGGATGCATACTGATCAGAAACAGGCATATCTCTCTCGGCACTTGACATGCCAGTGTTGAACTTGTGATGGACTCCCAATCCTATAAATCTCTTGCAGCATGCTTTGTTATTGGACTCAGAGGGCCCTTATATCCTGATGGCTCACTCCATGTTGTCTTCTTCCTTTCCATATCTAGCTTGATCAAATGATCCCCCTGGATTCTTGGCCCTTTTTCTTATATGACTCAGAGAGTGAGACAGAAAGTGACTCTTTTGGCCTGTTTCCCAGCTACTACTTGATAGAGCTCCAAGCCATTCAAATGCTATTCTTTGTCTTCGAGAGGAGAGTTCTTTTACATTTCTTCCAGAAAAGCCCTAATCTTTTAAGTTTTTACTTTATTCTACAGATACCGTATATTTGGTGTAAAAAGGTCAATCATAGACATAATACATAGGCAATATGATCAACATAGTGGGGGATTTTTGATCATACTGCTCTTTTATGCTGTAAGCTGCCCAAAGCTACTGTGGAAACTGAGCTAGAAGGCCGGGGTATAAATAAAATGGTGGTGGTGATGGTGATGCTTTGTTGGAAGCCGCCCAGAGTGGCTGGGGCAACCCAGTCAGATGGTTAGGATACAAGAAATAAATTATTACTATTATTATTAGGGTGGCAAAGTAGGCTTCCTAGGATTCCTTCCTCATGCTAGAAGAAGGGAGGAATAATTTCTGCCCCATTGTGTATGTCCTGTCCCCAGGTAGCCATAGATGCACTGGACAAAGGGGAAGAACTAGGAAGATGGGGTGACTTACTATGCTATTCCTGGCAAAAGTCTGGTCCAGGGGTCTGCAACCCGCGGCTCCGGAGCCGCATGTGGCTCTTTTACACCTTTGCCGCGGCTCCGGGACGGATACTAGCGAGGGGAGGAGGCGCATTGTGCGCCCCGACACTCCCCACTGTGGCGGGCGCTGTACTGGCTGTGACGTCGCATGGGGGCAGTGCGTGCATTAGTCACGCACCGTCCCGACGTCACCTTCCCGCCCGCTGTCAGATCGGAGGACAGCGGCGTGCATGCTTTAAATGTCGCAATGGTTTTGCGGCTCCCAGGTGTTTTTTTCTTCGGAAACGGGTCCAAGTGGCTCTTTTTGTCTTAAAGGTTGCAGACCCCTGGTCTGGTCCATAGCTGTCAACGTTTCCCTTTTTAAAAGGGAAATTCCATTATTCTGAATAGGATTCCTCGCAAGAAAAGGGGAAAGTTGACAGCTATGGTCTGGTCTTCCCATCCTCAGTAAAGTGGAATATGGCTTATATACACAAGGGAACAAGATATGAGTACCAATCCCAAATATACGCTCTCATTGTAATGGCTGTTGGTTATCCTCCTCTACTAGGAGTATTGTTACCATAGGCAGTTACTATTACATTAGCAGAGTTATTTGTGTTCATAATATTTAGTTGTTTATTTAGTTATTTAAACCATACTACTTCATTTTTATAAAAAAAACAACACCAAAACCTCAGCTACATTGTGACTTTGTAAAACTCAAACTTTTCCTGTGGATTATCTAGAAGATCACAGTGACATTGTTGTTTCTATTATTATTTAAATGACTTTAGGAGAACCCGGAAGACAAAGCAAATAATGTCGTTTCATTGAATCATGAGAGAAGGCAGTAATTGACTGTCATGGCACACTTAAGTTATCTACTCTTGAAGAAAATTGGTAATAATCTGCTTTATCTTGACAGACCTTTTGGTTATGGCTATCACTCGCTCATTTAAGCAAGTTAACATTTGCACTATTAATACATAATAAAAATTTCTGTCAAATAGGTTATTAAAATATCACAACCCTTTAAAATTTATTAATTTGGCTGTCGTAAATCCATTTCTTCAAAGTGCAAGAACTAATATGACTCACAGTATCTTTGCTTGAACCTGCTCAATGAATGTCAATTAATTCTGCCTATGACAGTAATTTTGAAATATTCTGGGGGCTGCATGTCTCAATTCTAGATCTGTACTGTGACTCAGAGCTGACTCAAACATGCAGAACATACAGTAGAGCTCTAGACTATACCACTTCAGATATCAGAGTGACTTCATTACAGTAATAATATTTTGGCTTAATAAGCCAAGATATAAGCTGCTTCACAGCACAAGCAAGCAAAACAGAAAGTCTTCCATTAGCCACAGTTTACTATTTTGTATGAGCTGGGAAACTGTGGTTAACAACTTCAGAACAAGGCAGGCCATTAAACCATAGTTTGAAACCAATTTAAGATTCTGGCTTGTTCTGAACATTGTAGCCATAGTTTCTTGATTTGGACCAAATGGGAAACTGGTTTATTATAGGCTTCCTTCTTCGTGCACAGGGCCTTAATGTGTAGGGTGAGGAATTCATTCATATCTTGTTTTATAAAGTCAAGATCTTGCAAACTACCCCATTGTCTTCCCAAGTAAAAGACTTTGCCAAACAGTGAAAGCTATATCAAGAGAAAGACATTTCCCAGTTGGTCACTCACTCTTCTTGCTCTACCCACTCTCACACCCTCTGTTTCACTTGCAACCTCTACTGTGTGCTTTTTCTGCACTGGATGTGTCAAGGAGTCCCTGTGTTTCCTGTTCTCGATGCTTCTCCAAATACCTTGAACTAAAATTTGCACATCTTCTCACCCAAGTGAGGTGCACTGAAGCCTGGAAACAACTTGTACATTTCACTGGTAAGTTAGCATCACCAAAAAGAGATTTACATGCAGCTTTCATATGTTAATTTTATATGAACTGATGCAAATTTAGAAGTTATTAGTGTAATTTAAATAGACACACATCTCAGCATGACCTGCTGTCCAGGTGTTAAAAGTATCTGGGCAAATTGAAGGCCTCCGCTCTCCCTTTTTTTGCTTCTTTATCTTGGGCCAGATAGTCTTTCACATACAGGACACTTTCAAATACAGGATTATCCTAATGGCCACCCTGCTCATTGGAGGGATGAGGTTTGAAAGCTCTTATTTCAGTAATGATGGCTAAGAGCTAGGAAACACAATTGAAGGTCCCTGCGT